GTCACACGTTCCTGAACCACTTAGGCGCAGCTCGGCGTTTAGGAAGGAAACACTTGCGATTTTATTCGTCTATACGAATTATTGCATAGATTTCGGGAGAATTTAATCCAATGTTCTGCGTGGCATATAGCCAGGAAAGTAGTTGTTTTTCTCTCGTTATCTACCTTTTTCGTTCATTTTATAAACTATTGTGTTAATGACTTTGAGTTTCTCTGTATTTTTAACCATTGCATTCCACTTTGAGTATTTGGCTTTTTCTTAGTTGATATTACTCTGCCCTGAATATCAATGTCAGTTAGGCTTTTAATGTATAGGGTGAAGAGTATGGGCCCTAAAACAGTGCCTAATGGTATCCCTGATCTTTGCTGCTTGCTCTCTTAGGATGAGATAACTCCCAAAGATCTCCAACACGGTACCCCTCACTTTATTCTGTCAAGAACGTTTAGGAGATTCTGATGTGGTACCATATAGAAGGCCTTTGCTAAGTCCAAGAAAATACTCATACATTTATTTTTATTATTGTCGATGTGCGATATCAATTCATGCATTGCGTCACTTGAGTTATTACAGAGTTCTTAAATTGATTCGGTACGATTCCAGTATCGAAAGTTGAATTTATTAAGTGTTTCGAAGGTTAGAGTAGGTGAAGATGTAGTAGTTCCAAATGCCGTCCGTCTGATCCAGGTGCACTATTATTTTTCAAACTATTTATATATTTAATAACATCATTCTCGGTTACCGGTTTTAAGAAAATTGATTTGTTTATTTTCCCATTGGAAAATCTACATCACATTTAGGGATTATTTTGGACATTTTCAGGCCAATGGAAGAAACATATTTATTACAATAGTTTGCCAACTCTTCATCATTGTTGAATTCTTCATTTTGTTCATTAATAATCCTCTATAAAAATCATTCTGTGTTTTTGATATTAATTTATTTAAATTACTCCTGTACTCTTAATACTCATTTTCTTTTTCAATGCTATGATTTTTTGACAGTTGTTTCTTCATTTTGTCTTCCATTTTAATAGGGTTAATGATGCCATTGGAAATCCAAGGTTTAATTTTTTTATGTTGTTTGCTATTAATAATCTCAGTACTTTTACATGTTTCAATAATGTTGATATTTTTCGTAGAAAATTTTAGTACCTGTTTCTGGGTTACTTTCATTGCAGACATTTCCCCAAGTTTCACTTTTGATATTTTCTATAATTTTATCAGTATTGATTCTAGTTATAGTTTCGTAGTTACTTTTAGAAGCAGTGGATTTCATATCGGTCTGTAAAATGTTTATCACAATAGGGTTCTTTCCCAGCCTATGCATATTTTTTTCTTAAGTATTATTTGATTGAAAGCTGCTGCCGAGAAACTGACAGTAAATAGTATTTACGTCATTTTCAGTTTTCTTGATATTAAGTATATGATTTAAAAATGTTTATCTGCTGATCTAATTTTTTTTAGTTGCTCTTTAATAATTTTCCCTGCTATAAACATATATGTTTCTTGGGAACAATACAGATTATTATTATTATTAAGTCGTTTTCATACCATCTATTATTTCATTTTGTTCCATGATGCATTTATCTATTTCATCTGTAGTCATATTTCCAGTAAAGTTGCAAATTTTTATATTGGGTTTCCTCAATTTTGTTAGTTCGATATGGTAGTTGTCTTTCAACTCATCCTGAACAGCTTTCTTTGAATTTTCAGTTTCTTTTTTCTTTGACAGGATATTATGACGGAACCACTTGTTCCCATCTCAATTTGTTTCACCCCTACTTTCAGGTTAATAAGATTGATTTTCCGGTTTAGATCTAACTTTGTTTCATCACCACTTTGTGGTGCTTTTGGCTTGATAATTACTTTGGGTGAATTGATTTTCTTCTCATGATCAATATGATATGATTTTACTGCAACAACATAAGACATAATCGGCATACTTGCCCCTTTTTCTTCATATAGTTCAATTTTTTCTTGTAGCATTCTTATTATTTCGTTTTTACTGTTTATTATTTCATTCTTATCTTCGATAAGGTTTTTGAGGTAAGGTAAGGTAGGTCAGGTCATGATTCCTATATTTTTTGCATAAGAATTTCAATAGTCTCGTGCGTAGAGGCAGACATCTTACTTCTGATGATGATAATTCGGAACATTGATTGCAATAAAGTCTCCTCCTACATCCAACACATGCTGAGCATGGATATTTTTGCTCCTTTGTTGGTCGAAAAATATTGTCACAATCTGAGCATTTCATTGCCATCTTGGTTTGTTAGTTGAAACCATTTCCTTCATATATAGATTTGTGAACTCCACTGGAAGTTTTCAGTTTCATTTTATCCACTTTAATTCTCGTTCTGGACCTAGGCACAGGTTTTTTGTACCTACCTGATAAGTTTGTCACTTTTTGCTTTCGTTCGAATTTTTTCTTCATGGATACCTAAAACAGTTTTACTGCATTTTAATCTTGCCAAAATACACCTTTCTGGTAATTCAAAAGTTCACTATACCACTCTAGTTTCATTAATTCACATACATGTTGAATTTCAGCTAATTATGTCAACTTGTATTCATTTACACATCATATAAACGCGACATTCGACTTCGGCGAGTATATAGGTAATAGTTTTCATAGTACTTACTCTAATACATAGCTTTATACCAGCAACAGTAAGTTATCACTTCATTATTTTCAAATCGAAATATTCCGAGAACGGAATACAGTATCGAGTTTTACCAGGAATGCCTCTTTGATGTAATATTGAATGATGTTCAAGTTCAAATCAAATTTGGATTGAAAAATGTAATATCAAAGAACTTATGTGTAAAACTACTCGGTACGAACCGTGTAACAAGCGCTCTCTATGAGAGTCAGATATAAAAACAGAATTCGAGTGGTATGCCAGTGCTCAAATTATATTTATACATTTATACAAAATATCATCACAGTGTTGCCAGTAGTTTCCACATAATCGTAAAAAAATGTGTTTAACGTTACGAAAATTTTGCACTCAAACCTAACTTACTTTGCACTGTTATTTTATTTATTTATGCATTTATTTATTTATTTATTTATTTATTGAAGTAATACATCCAACAGACTAAAAGTCCAATTACAGGAGTATATAACAAAAGGAGAATGTGCATCACACACTTATCTAAGCATAGTATAACTATAACATAAATATCTATGAGTATGATAATGAACAGAAAAGGAGAACACTATTTCAACCAATGATTATGTTAGTTTGATATGAGCCTATACAGAGCTTTTTTGAAGTGTCCAGAACTAAAAAAAATATATCTACTGAGGGTAAATTATTGAAACATCTACACATATAATTAATACCATTCTGAATATGATGCTGCGAGTCAAGTACATCAATATGGAAAGTTAGGCTAGTTCTAGAGACTGAGCGAGGTACATAGAAATTTAAGAAAGACAACAAAGTTGATGAATCGATTTCATTGTGGATAAGTTTATGGATGAAGGAGAGAGCAGCAATTTCACGACGTTTTTTTAAAGAGACAATATTGAATTCATTCAAAAGTAGGTGATAATCATAGTGTCTCACAGGATACGAGCCGTGCACTTTGAAATAAATAAATTTGAAAAATTTACGTTGAATGTTCTCAAGTTTGTCAATATTTTTATTATGATAGGGATTCCATATTTGGCTGGCGTATTCCATTTTCGTCCTAACCAAAGAGAAGTATACACATTTCACTGCTTCGACTGATTGAAATTCTTTGCAATTACGTATAACGAATCCGAGTAGGCGTGTTGATTTATTAACAATATTTTCTATGTGGGAAGAGAATGTCAACTTCGTGTCGAACGTTATTCCCAAATCCTTACATTCATGCACCCTCATAACAATGTTATCGTTCAGCATATAGTTGTGTACAATAGGAGACTAACGTGAATATGTCATCACTTTACATTTACTGATATTGAGTGGTAAGTTATTTGAGTTACACCATTTCAGAAGGTTAGACAGATCATGCTGTAAAGAAATGCGGTCCGTTATGTCATGAATTTCACTATATATTTTCATGTCATCAGCAAAAAGGAGCTTATTCGATTTAATGGAATCACATATGTCATTAATGAACATGAGGAACAGTAGCGGCCCTAGATTGGATTCCTGCGGTACTCCAGAACATGCGGTGAACTCAAAACTTCTTTCTCCTTCATACTCAACATAAAGATTTTTATCCGACAGGTAACATTTCAGAAGGCATTAAAGTTTAGTGGAAATTCCAAATTGGTCCAGCTTCCTCAACAGTAATTGATGAGACACTCTGTCAAAAGCCTTACTGAAGTCGGTGTAAACCACGTCCACCTGTTTCCTATTATCCAATGCATTTGAAACATATTGAGTGAAAGTACAGAGGTTTGAAATCGGAGCTTTTACAAATCCATGTTGGAATTCTGATATGGACCCAACAATATGACTGTATATTAAATCCGATAAAATGATTTCAATCAGTTTACCTATCCTAGCAAATTGGTCACCTCTTTTTGAAAAATTCTGTATAAATAGACATCAAATTTCAAGTATTTTTATCCCAACTTACCATGTATATATTTTACTTTTTTTTTTAATTCAGAAAATTCTGCGTGCTTATCAAGCTATAAGTCGTTGGGCCCGACTATGCGTTCAACAAAATGAAAGCCAATTCAACAATAATTACTCAAGTGGACAAAATGTCTCTCAAATAAATTTAGTATTTTTTTTCTATTATATTTAGTCAGATACTATTATTACAAATTCAAGATAGGTACCCGGTTTGATGGTGGTATATGTTCAAAATATTCGGTACCCAAAAAAATATCAGTAATAGGAAAAATCAACTCTGTTTCATGATCTTTTGGTTTCAAGCTGATGATTATTATTTTCATTGTCATCTCCATTATTGTTGTTGCTGCTGTAAAGTATAAAGGAAACAATTTTCAATATTGTGCCTCAGGATATTTAAATACTTGATATTTTTCAGATGCCTGCTGTTCTCTCTTGCCTGCAAAAAAGTATCCACAGCGTCTTGTTAGGAAAACTAATTCGCCCGGATTGGACAACTCATGGAGTCCCAAATTCAGCCAAAATCGATTCTTTCTCTGTCAAACTCCCAGCTGAGTTACAGAATGTCCAGTTGAAAATGAAGTCATTGGCCTGTGACGGTCAGTTTCTGTATTTGTTCACCTCAAATGGGTTGTTCAAAATCGGCAGTGGATATGGAGGTACAATCAAAGGTCATCTGGTTATGTGGAAACCTGATTTTTATCCTAGCGACGATGGAAGCTTGGTTTTTTGTGATGTAAGTGAGAGCAGAGATTAAGAAAATGTTCATAAAATATGGTTTCCCATTGGACTAAGTAAGCGATAAAATAACTTCAATACATGTATGGAACATTGTTCTCCCCTTACATTTGAAATTTACAATTTATCAAGTGGAACTTCTTCAGTCATTCAGGCTGAATATTTGTAGAACATCTCCAAAATATCAAGAAGTTCCACATGAACTCGATCACTCAAACTTGACATAATATATAATGAGCCTCCTTGTATAAAGATTATACCTGAAATAAAAATTCCACTTATCAATGAAACATAACTGACCTAAATTGCATAATAAAAATATGCAATCTGATTGTATATTATAATAACTATTTCACTCGAGTTAAATGATACATAATGTGACAAATCTCAAGCCACTGACAATTTGTATTATTGCGAAAATAATAGCTGTCTTTCAATCTTGATTGGTCTAACTTGAATACAAAAGTCAGTTAAAAAAAAACAACTAAGATCTAGACGTCTAACCACCTTCGCTGCTTACGTCCGACTATCTCTAAAAAAAATGAAAGATCTAGAACTTGAAAGAACAAAGTCTTCTCTTCGAAATGCTGATCGAGGATAAAAATATCAAATACTCTCGAAAGTGTTGACAAACGTTCCGACACATACTAGTCCACTGTTGCTGGCGTTGACACTTTGATCCATCAAATTACCCCTTATTTAATTTAACGTTCACAACCAAAACTTACGATTATAGACAATAATTTTAACATCACAAAATTGATTCACAAAGAATGGAAAATTGAATACAATATCAGCATACTGAACATTGACTTCTTCCACTGCCTTATACACTTTTAAATTTACAATATTCTGAGTACCATAAACAACCCCTAAGCTATCTTTCAATCCATAGGCATTTAGTCCTAGCCTTCTAGATACATAATATGGTCCTTTATACAGGGTGTGTCATAATTGAATGCTGCTCCTAAAGGGCGTTTATCCTTGGATGATTTCAAGAAAAATTCTTCATGTGAACATAGGTCCGTAACAGCTTCGTTTCTGAGATACAGGATGTTGAAATTTAACAAAAAAATCGGTTATTCCCCAATATCTCTGGAACCGCTCTGGCTTTTTCCTTCAATTTTGGTACATGCCGAGTATGAATAAAAATACATTTTTTCCATAATGAAGGATTTCTTAATTTCCATCAGTGGCGTCCCTGTTAACATACCATGTCATCAAAATAATGATACGCCACTGTCTTCTTTCCAAATGAATATTATTTTTGTAATTATCCTCTATCTTCTCATAAAAATGGTCGCTTGTCTGTTTTTCGTCCGCCGAACGGTTTTTGAGTTAGAAAATAAAATGCATGCATTTGCTTGTCCCTATTCGATTATTACTCTTAGTCATAATTTCACAATTGTGGTAACCAAAAGATCTGAGCAATATTTTTATAATTTTATGGTAACTATTTTTAAGTATTTGTAATGAAGAAAAAAGCCAGAGCGGTTTAAGAGATATTGGGGAATAACTGATATTTTTGTTAAATTTCAACATCCTGTATCTCAGAAACGAAGCTGTTTCGGACCTATGTTCACATAAAGAATTCTTCTTAAAATCATCCAAGGATTATCACCCTTAAGGATCAGCATTCAATTATGAAACACCCTGTATAATGCGAATTTGACTATTATCAACGTTGAACTGCTGGATTCATTTTTTTTATTATTGAGAGTTCGGAGTTCTTGAAGTTTTTTCTCTGAAAATAGTGCAAAAAGCCGTTGACGATTTTTTATCGGTCGGCTATACCTGTCAGAGTTAACAATGTTTCAAAGAAGTTACTAGTTTCTAAACATGTCTGGAAATAAGAAATTGTTTTTTTTTTCATCGACCACTTACCTAAGAACAATTCTGGTTTTATCATGTTATCATAGGTAACCTATAAATTTTTTGGTTTATACGAACATCTAAAAATTAAAATTTACTGAACTAATCTGCTGTAAACATTCTTTATTGGTTTTGAACTTTAAATAGTTCCCCTATTAAGGACGTGAATAAGTATACATACATACTCCCAATCTCAACAAACAAGATTTGTGTCATGGACTCTTAGACTAAAGGTTCTGGTATGAAAATGGCGTGTTTGCCATGCACATGGGACATAGTTCTGTGGAGGAAAATTGTTTAACTTATTGTTTTTACAATAATTCTTTGTATTATAATCCCTTCAGAACCATTTGAGTAGATATAATTAAACTTATTTTCCATATTAGAATTCATTTCAAACATACATGTAAATATTTTGGAAACAAAATGAAAATATCAGTCCTCCACTTGTCTATTATGTGTAAATCATCATTAATATTATACATTTCAGGGCAACCTATATTTGAAATCATTAGGAAGAAGAGGCGGTGAATTTCTAGTAGTTGAAAGATCAAATCTTCTAATTTCTGCATCAGTCCCATTGCATAATAGAGACTCCTCTGCTACTGTGATATTTTCTGATGGAGAACATCTGGGAATCATCTCGCCTGCAAAAGATGTAAGAACTTATTTCTAATTGCAGATGATGTGCAATCTTTATTTCATTCATTTTGGTCCTGTAGGAAACATAAAGATTTCAGTTGCTCACTTGACATCTGTTGTTTCAATAAAGAAAACATTCAAATGAGGAAATTATTGCAGAATCGGGATTTAAAATAATGATTAACGTTACTTCTCAAAAAATAACCCCTAATCAATGGTTGATGATAACAGCAATCTGCATTTTCTATCTGATGATTGAATTCAATAAGGATATTCATAGTATGCAATTATTTCCAATTACCTGCTGAGAACACTAATTTCTGTGATACTTTGAATTAATAACAGCAATCTGCATTTTCTATTCGATGATTAAATTCAATAAGGATATTCATAATAGGAAATTATTTTCAATTAAGCACCTGCTGAGAACACTAATTTCTGTGATACTTGTGACTTTTTCCTATGAAAAGGGCATGATATTGACCCGAAAGCAGGTAAAAGTTTTTTTTTCAGAAGCTGACTGGATCCCGATTTCTTAACTTTTGGTTTTTCTTCGTGGAGCAGAAAAACAACAACTTTTGTCTCAAAGATTTTCTCATTCGACTTCAATTTTGAAAGATTAAAGCTCAACTAGAGACAGTCTCATAACAGCAACTCATTTTTTACAATTGTGGAAATACATTGAGAATACATTTTTTTATATAAAACATTTTTCCATCCCACTTTAGCAAGAAATTAATTGATAAGTCACGTTGTAATGTATTGACCATTCTAGAACACGTGATTTTGACACGGATTCTTGAAGGGCACACAAACTATCTGATAGGTTACCTTTGATAAGCATATCCCTGCCCACATCCAGAATAAACTAACAGATTCGCCAAACAAAATCTTGAAATTCATTTGGGTTCCAACTCGGGTTCCAAGGAAAACGATATGACAAAATACAATGTTTCCCCTCTAACGACCTGTCAAATGACCTAATTCTGGAATGAATAATTTTGTCATGGGTTTAGAGATGAATGTTTTTATATATATCACAAGAATCTATAAGGAAAATATTAGCTTCTGATTGCAGAACCAAAATTGGCTCCCTAATAACTTATTATTTATCATTTTGTTTTTTACTGAATGGAATGGTTCTCGAGATGAGACTTTCTTCATTTGTCTTCAATTTATCAAAACTGAATCAAATGAGGAGATGTCTCGGACAAGTTTTATATTCTTCTAAGCCCTCCAATATCAAGTAGATGAGAATATTGGTTATCGTTTGAAACAACTAAGATGATCTTGCAATGACGTTGCAAAATAATATCACTGTTCTAATCTGTTTTCCCAAGGAACTTTGACCTCGTGTTTTCTTTAATGAAGCTCTACAGATGATGATTGGCTGTTCCAAATTGAACGGAGCACCTTCTACATTTCGAATTAATAATTTTCGATAATATTACCACTATCGTCAGAACCATCCCTTCCGGAAATATTCCCCACAAGCCCAGTTTTTTTATCTTGTACCTTCGCCTTCCCGAGGAACTTCAAATTCAACTAGCAAAAGTATAATGATACTTAATTTTGTTTTTGTGAATAATAAAATGTCTATGAGTAAAACAATATGTGTACTTAAACTAATAACAATAGTAAATATATAATACGGATATTCGATAGGAATAAGTCTTATTGACAGAAGTTGTATACAATTGAATTCCTGAGAAGGAATGTTCCTCCTCAATTATATTCATTTTGAAGAACTCATCCCTTCGGTTATTTGCTTTTGTATTTTATTTAGCGTTAGCTCAGGCTATGATCTTGAATTTCATTATGAAAGTTATTGCAGAATAAACTAGTAAGTAGCTATATCTTCTATATCTTCGTTATGTAAAAAAATTGGATTCAAGGTCTTCAATAAACCTGGGTTTATTGCTGGGCGATTTTGGCTTTGACGATACTAGTAATGAAATGTGATTGGTCAATTTGAATTGATTAGTACTAGCTCCTTATCAAATCTCCTAATCTCGCGTCGACTGGCTTTGGGTTCTTCGAATTGAATCAGGATGAAATTCTCGGTATAACTTTATCCTATCACAAGTTCGTATATATCAGGGCTTTGATCATTAAGTACTTATAAGAAGTTATCGTTCACCTTGAATTATCTAGCAATACACTAGACTTAAGACGGAATTCATTTCCCATCACCTTAACACATTTCTACTTATTATGCTGAAATGATTCTATTTTTGATGGATAATTCATGTAACTCGCCTGCAGAGAAAATATCGCAGTTGGACGGTGGAAGCGCCCTTATTGCAGCAGTGATTTAGAGGGCTGATAGCATCCATGTGCGACATCTTTTCTACAGGCTATTATACTCTCAAGACTAACGACTGACCTTATTTTTTCATCAGGATGGATTTGTGGTAAGAATGTTGAATCAAAATACATCACCTGCTTCACACGTTAGTGAATTGCCTTTGAAGTTGGCAAGAAAATGTGTTGAAGTGTTTGGAGTTTCTTCATTTGATGAAGATGTCGGATCATATACTGTTAACATAGGAAATGAGGAAGAAATTGGAAATATTTGTTGCGGTAAAGAATTCGGACTCATCAGAACTGTGACGGGAAAAGTATGTTTTCAAGTATTTATAATCAACTTCAATAAAAATTGTTATCTGTATTAGGTTTTATATTGTGGTAAATCTTCCGCTCTTGGAATTAAGCAGGCAGGTTTGAGGACTGGAAAATGGTCTGAGTTAGTGTTAACGAAAACGCCAAAAGTCAGCCAAATTGCTATAGGTCATGATGGACTTCATGCTGTTTTGTTAACTGAAGATGGATCGGTATTTTTTATAGGTAATATATTTACCATCCTGGAAAGGCAATTGGAATCGATAAAAACATCCTTTTTGATTTTAATTTAGGCAGGTGCATTAACTCAACTATGCCTGAAATGTACAAGATGTTCTGCTCTTGAGTTAATATTATTATCATGGTTATCATGTTATAAATGGAGTATAAATTATAGTAAATCAGCATTTATGATCATTTCAAAAAAATTAAGATATAATGAGTACAAATTTCCAATTGCATGTAATAATGAAGTCATCAAATACTCAAGTTATATCAAGTTTCTTGGGATGTACATAGATGAACATTTGTCATGGTCAAAGCATATTGAAATACTTAGGAAAAAAATATCTCCAATAATAGGTATACTTTTTAGGGTACGGAATCAAGTTCCTATGAAATGTCTCAAATCTATATACTTCTCTTTGATCTATTCTAAACTTGAATATTTGATTTCTGTATGGGGTTCAAAAATTGGTGATATTCATAACTATAGACCTATAGCGCTTATTTCAGTATTCTCGAAACTGTTTGAAATCATTCTTTTTGATCTAATTTACTCTCATGTAGGTAACTCCTTATCAGAGTTCCAACATGGATTTATGAAATCTCGAAGCACAGTCTCAAACCTATGCACGTTCACTCAGTATGTATCAAACTCACTCGATAGTCGTCACCAAGTAGATGTTGTTTATACTGATTTCAGCAAAGCCTTCGACAAAGTTTCTCACAAACAACTTTTACAAAAATTGGGTAACTTCGGTATACCCCCTAATATCCAATTACTATTGAAATCGTACCTCACTGATAGGAATTTATTCGTCGAGTATGAAGGTGTACAATCCGTCAAGTTCATAGCTCATTCAGGAGTACCTCAAGGATCGAATCTGGGGCCTCTTCTATTCCTCCTATTTATAAATGATATATGCATTTCAATTAAATCAAGCAAACTCCTTTTTGCAGATGACATGAAAATTTTCACAGAAATTACAGATATTGCAGATTGTTTGCGTCTGCAAAACGATCTGAATCTTCTTTTCAAGTGGTGTTCTGAAAATAATTTACCCCTGAATATTGAGAAATGCAAAATTATGAGCTACTCTAGAAAAGTTTCTACATTTTTATTCGAATATTTCATCGAAGATGGTAAACTACGCAGGGTAAACGAATGTACAGATCTGGGAGTTATATTTGACAGCAAATTAATATTCAATTTACATATTGAAAAAATTAAATCCAATGCCAATAGGGCTCTAGGTTTCCTCATACGTAATTGTAAAGAATTTACGAATCTTAGAGCTCTTTGTTCTATTTACTATTGCATTGTACGTAGCAAGCTTGAATACTGCAGTGCGGTATGGAACCCAAGCCAAGTTAAACACATACAAGCATTGGAAACAGTACAAAAAAAATTTCTCAAATTTTTGTTTTTCAAAAAATATAATATTTATCCTGAACGTCACTGCGATTACGATTTGTTACTAGAAGAATTTGCATTCGTTAGCTTGAAAAAACGACGTGAAATAGCAGACATGATATTTGCATATAAATTAATAAATAATCAAATAGATTCGGCGTCCCTTTTATCCACACTGAGTTTCAACATACCCCGTATCACTTCAAGATCAAACCTGACTTTCCGAATCGATGTTCCAAATTCACAACATCACTTCAATAGTCCTATCACATCTATGTGTAGAAGCCTCAATAATGTGCCGTCTGTAGATATATTTTTTTCAAATTTAACCCAGTTCAGAAAGCAATTGTACACTCTTATTCCGAACTAGATATATATTTTCATTTGTTCACCTACATTGGTTCATTGTAATTATTATTCTTATTATAACTATTATTATTATATACTCCTGTAATTGGGCTCCGGCCTGTTGGATGTATTATGTATAAATAAATAAATAAATAAATAAACAAAACTATCAATTATAAAGCCTCTCAAAACTCTTCAAAATAAAATTATCAAATGTATACAGTGTCATTCATAAAGTCGGCATCATATGGGAAAAACTTTTATTAATGAATTATTTTGGAATTCGAGTAGGACGTAAAGTTTTGCTTCAAAAAAGATGAAAAATGTCCTACTCAATCGTGGTGACGTGACTTTCGCTACATGTCAAAAGTGACATTTTTTCAAATTAATCGCTGAAAGTAGGCTTATTTGTTCGTATATCGAAAAAGTTTACTTGAAAAAGTTGTTTCTATTTCAATTTTACACATGCTTCTCGAATTTGATCTTTCTATTGCAATTTTTGGATTTTGATTTTTTTTAAGTTTTTCGAAATTTCTGTAATATTTGAAGAATTGTTAATTCCACGAAACTACTTCATACCAGTAGCTTTTTCATGCTACTTACTTTCAATTACTTATTATCACTGATTATGGACAGAAATATGATTTTCTTCAGAAAATGATAATACCCGCTTCCAAATTCTGTTATGTTTGATGCAGAATTAATATATCGTCAAGCATTTAGAAACGAAATTCATTTGAACTGATCTCTTCAGTACTGAAAAAATGAATTCAAATGAATTTCGTTACTGAATGCTTGACTCAAACATAACAGAATTTTGATGTTATGTTTGCATCAAACATAACAGAATTTTAAAGCGGAGAATATCACTTTCTGAAGGAAATCATATTTTTGTCGATAATTAGTGATGATTAGTAATTGAAAGTTAGTAGCATGATGAAGCCACTGGTATGATGTCGCTTTATCGAATTTACAATTTTTTTAATATTACAGAAATTTAGAAATTTTTTAAAAAATATCGATATCTAAAAAATGTAATAGAAAGATAAAATACGAGTCACATATGAGAAATTGAAATAGAAACAACTTTTTCAAGTAAAATTTTTCCATATTCGAACAAATAAGCCTACTTTCAGCGATTAATTTGAAAAAATGTCACTTTTGACATGTAGCGAAAGTCACGTGACCCCGCTTGAGTGGGCCATTTTTCATCTTTTTTGAAGCAAAACTCAACGTCCAACTCGAATTTCAAAATAAGTCATTAATTAAAGTTTTTCCCATATGATGCCGACTTTATGAATGACACTGTATACAGACTAAATTATTCGGAACCTACTATGAACCTTTACAGAAGAAGAGAATTATTAGATATAGATTCACTATATAAATTAAAATTATGTCGTTCATTCATTCAGTTAAACATTGTCAAAAGCATTCAAATTTGGTTTTCCAAATTAATAGTAATAACCACAACCATACAACTAAACAAGCAGATCATTTTTCTGTCAAGAAAATTAAATCAGATATTGGTAATAAATCCATCTATCACAATGGAATGATACAATACAATTCACTACCAAATAACTTGAAGCTGATTAATAGGATTGCAAAATTTGAAAGAGAATTCAAGAAACATCTACTCCTGTAATATTGACATCTTATCTCATTTTTATAGCTTTCTTGTACAACTACTATAGTTTTCTATTGGGTACCTAACAGCTGAGTCAATTGAGAATCATTTTCAGTGGAACTCGAGTGTGAGTCTTATTTTACTGTCTTCTTCATTTTATTTTGTCAAATATATTTATGTATTCACCATGTTCCCTGCTATAAACAAATGTTGTTTCTTGGGAATAATAAAGTTGATTGATTGATTGATTGATTGATTGAGTGAAAAAAAAAAAAGAATTATTTCAAGCTGTTTTCATCAGGACATCCAATACAGATTCGGATAGATCATATCTTCATAATCCTTTGACATATCCTTATCAAACCTAGTAATAAAAATCCCAATACAGATATGTAATAAAATAAGTGCAAAGTATTCCATTGCTTTGAGTCACTAATTCTATTTTCGAAGATTGCGCCAAAAAGCAATATCTGTTTATTTCGTTCCAATTGCCTACCATATTACATTTGCAATTTATGGTTCTAAAATATTTCACCTGAGTGTTTTGGTTGAGTGAGCATATTCACTTATCAGGCTTTCTGGATTTGATGGTGATAATAACTGAAATTTACAGGAACCGCTCGTAGAGGTGAAGATGGTGATCAAAACAAAGTCAGGAGGCAGCCTAAACCAGTCAAGCCAAAGAAAATGATAAAGGTTGATGGGCAATGTATCGTGTCCCTGGCATGTAATAATGGAACTACTGCTTTAATCAATAAAGAAGGAGAACTCTTCATATTCGGGAAAGATACAACACACACTGAAGCAACCACAGGTTACACCACTAATTAGCTAAAAATTTTAAGATCATCAGATAATTTCGCATTGGAATCTATACAGAATGTCTGGATTCTATCTTCCAATGCATAACACTATCAACTTCTTATTGTATTGCATAAGAGTTAATCATCAAAACGACTCTCCGTCAAACCGTCAATTACCCCGTAATTCTTGTTTTTCGAGTTACACCTGCCTATTATCTTGCTATGTGTCTTTAATTTGCATGAAAGCTTATATAAAACATCATTCTGTATTACATTCTACACCAAGAAGCCTCAGTTGAGTAGGAACTAGATTCATCTAGGCATGACTAGATTTCCGTCCATTTGTCCTCTTGATTTATTTTTGCTTTTTTTTGAGGACAAATTATAAAAGAAATATCACCGCAGATGATTACAGCAGCTTGTGAAAGAAAGTTCTTTAAAGATGTGAACTGTGTAAAAAAGGTATATTCTCCGAACATTTCACTCGATTTTAATGTGATTTTTGTTGTCGTTAAAGTATCATTAAAACCTTTCTTACTATAATGCATTAGTTTTTTTGTACTAGTTGCGATACAAATGGTACAATGGATACAAAGGAGTGATAAGTTGAAAGTTGATTATGTTATCTGTTATAGAGATAGAGTATACTTTCGTTACCTATCTATGATAGCAGTTGCTATTGAACATGTCTTCCACTAGTTCCACCTATGTTTGTTTTGGATATAACTGTTTCCTTCTAATATCACAAATAAAAATCATACCCGTGAATTTTCATATATTTCGATTTCTTTTCAGGTATTGTGGGAAGTTTGAAAGGTGAATTCATAACACAGGTGTCACTTGGTAAAGCCCATGCTGTTGCTTTGACTAATAAAGGACAAGTTTTCACATTTGGAATTAACAATAAGTTTCAATGTGGAAGAGAATTCAATCCAACCAAAGAAGGTAACTTAAATTCTGTAGATATAATTATGAACATTTCTCAAAAGGTATACTTCAGGTGTGAGATTTTGAATATTCAAAAGCATTACTGTATCGGACTCCGGTTATATTTTGATTTATACAAATCTCGCCTTTGAATATACGATTTTACAAATTTTCGTCAGTGACAAGACACCAATTTTCTGACTGACTTATATATTGACATGTCTTCCTTCGCTCATACAGAATGAAAAATATAAACAAACAACTAAAATATATCAATGAAAATAAGAGAAAATATTCCACAGGAACAATTACTTCATATAACATCTTCCATATCAGAATTCATTGATTGGTCATGTTTCAGAACAAAATATTTCATCATTCGAAAGTACTGCATCCATGAAATTCACTATGACAAACTGATGCGGCTATACTTTGCAGAGATATCAAACAAACAGATTGATTCTTCTCGAATATATCTGACTTAATAACTTATTGAATATTGAGCGAATCGGCTTCATATCATATAGCACCTTGTGAAATGAATCACTTGGAATTGAAAGCACCAATTTGTTGCCTGGTCTTTTACGAATATTATCATCTTTTATTTTCTCTGATATCTCAATCATTACAGAAAATTCAGAGTTCAGAGGAAACGGTAGATACTGATCTCAATGAATCTTATGAAAACGTGTAATTTTTCAGTTCTTCTCTGTGAAAATGTATACTTCAAGTTGCATATTGCTCACGTTTCCATCTATCAGTTTCTCATATCAAGAATGCTTGCAAAAATGCATGACTGATCAAAAAGTCACATTCATGTTTGCCATTTTTTTTATCGCTTGGAGCGCACGAAAGGAAATCCCTATAATGTTCAAAGAACATCGTGCGTTCCTTGGGAGGATAGGGACATTACCTCATACTCAACCCAGAGTTATGACTGGTCCAATTTGTGTCGTAAGTATATATTTTTTTAAATTGACTTTGAATCTTGTTTCATCATCAATATGTTTCAATTCATGAGGTAATGAATTATATAAAATGATTCCGTTGTAGGATATTGATTGTTTGCTAATATTGGAGTTATATGGATCTACTATTAATGAATTCAACTGTCTCGTTTCATGAGTATTAATTGTATTCACTTCAGTAAAGTTCAAAAATTTATATTAAATATTGTAATTTTGAGTAAATCAGACAGAAATATATATTCTTCAAATATCTATGAGGCATTCAATTTCGAATTTTGTATGAAATGCCAGTAATTGGATTCAGCTTTTTTTTTTCAGGTGATCTATATGTTTAGCCCACGACAATTGTTCATCAGTATAAAGACCTCAGAATTTTGTAACATCTGAATATTTTAATAAGACGCGTAGAGGTAACACGCGTTATTGGAACATTCATTATTTTTGATGTTTTGAATCATTGTTATTGTAAGTGAAGAAAGGCTTTAGACCTTCCTTCACTCACTGTTCTAAAGCATGACATTTCTTTTTAATCGCCACTGTGAATTTGTAAGCATGGTTTGTACAATAAACTGGTAGGTAAAATTGTGAGCAATGTATCATAGTAGAAATATTCAAAATTTCATAGAAACGACTTGAAAATCTTCGCAAGTTTTCATGTTCAATTTGAGTGTAGACGTGAGTAAAATTGAGGCGAGTATTTATCTTTTCTTTGAAACTCTGTATTTTATTTAATTTGTTGGACATCAATTTGTTGAAATCGTATTTCGTTGTTGTAATTGGTTTCCAATTATGAGTGGTTCACTCTACAGCGTGTCTCAGAAAACACCGAAAATACCCTACGTTCCCCATACTACTATCATAATTTGCCTCAGAAAAAAACCTTTATCGCTCATGACATTATGCTCTTGTCTAATGTATTTACTTCCAATACATTGCAAGAGGATTAGTATTTATAACAAATTACCTCAGAAAATTGAAAATCCGTGTTTCATCAAATTTCGGAAGAAAATTAAATGATATCTCTTGAAATATTGCTCCTATTCGCTGGAATAATATCTTTAGGCTAATCAGGAAGAACTACTTGGCACTTATTTCATTTTCTCTAGATAACTCTTCGACCTGCTAAGAAGGTACTAAGTTTTTTATTCCCCCCATTTGTCATCAAATCGTTCAAAAACGGCATCAATTCAGATGAAGTACAAAAATTAAATTCCTACGACACTACACCTACATATCATAGACTTTAACATTTTCTGAACTCAATCGCTTCGAAAGATGATAGAAAAACACATAGCAATAATAGATCGATTCATTAGCACAATGTAAAATCGTTTTTCAAAATGAATATGGTTGTTTCAGAAAATTCGTCAAATGTTGTTGCCATGGACACATGTGGTGTACAAGAAGAACAAGAACTCTTTGATGAAATACAATCGGAAAATCAAAAAGATACCGACCCGGGTGTATCAGATCCCAATCTTGGAGAACAACACAACATTTGCCCTTCTGGAATGCACTCATGGCATGATGATATGTGTATGATTTGCACTGTCTGTAGAGAATGCACGGGTTATTCAATAAGTTGTTTGTCCTCTGTCAGCTCAGAGAGGAACCCAGGGCAGTGAGTATATAATTTGGGTCTCAAACGAACGATGTGGATTTTGATTTTCACCACAAATAAAGGCATTTATGGATCACTTCTAGTTGTGTAAAATGTTTTTGGTTAATAAGGTGAACTATTACCTACTCATTTAGGTAACTATGATTATAGTACAAAACCCCAAATATGGCAAAAATATGTTGGTGGCTACCTTAAGAAGAACTGAAAAGTAATAAGTTAGAAGTAAGGTTAACAAATTCCTTGGTATATTTCGAATATTCTCCGGAATCTACACTAGACGTATTTGCATTACCATAATAATAATGCTGTATTTGTTTACCAAAAAATCCATGCTCATCATTAGAATTATCAAAATGATATAGTCAGCGTGTCCTTCAAATTGCTGTGAAGTTGTATGCATAAACAAGTTGTACAAGGTTAGTGTGTTGTGAACCTGCCTATGATGTTCCAGATTTCATTAAAAAGTAGCACACATACACATTTATGCGTTACTGTCAAAAATAATTTCAATTTTCACACAACTGTATCTGTCAAATTTGTTTTTATGCACGGCCGAGCGTAAAGTAGCACTTTTCCGCCTGGTTTTGCGGGCGTAAAGTGGCACTTTACCGCCCGTAGACTAACTTTACCGCCCGGCGTATAAGTAACTCGTAATAGGCATTCCTGTATGGTATTTATGGTTCAGTTGTGATGGTTCCTTTTCCAATATTAGTTCTCTCGATATTTCTGGTGCAAAATGATATGATCGAACCCAAAATAAGCTACTTGTTTGTGATGACATCAATTGACAGCAACTATACTAGTTTACTCTTAATGCAAAAAATTAACTGACTTACCATGGTAACGTCGATTCCATCAATGATATTCCTCACTGCAGCCATGATATATTTGTGTCGTTCTCAAGAGGCATTCACAATGGAAAATCGAATACACCGGTCGTGCATAAAATGTTGTATGTATTTCGGGCGTAACTTGCTTTTATGGACCTAGGTGTGTTAATAGCCCTAACGATAGCGCGACGGTCCTATTTTACGCCCTTGATACATAATGAAGTATTATGTTTCAAATTATTAAATTTTTAGGGAATGTGGTTGTGGAGAAGGAGACAGTGGTTGTGCAAGCTGCGGTTGTTGCAGAATATGTGCTAGAGAGGTGGTTGATAACTCAGAGCTGGCTGATTTAGCTGGAATGATGAAAATTGATTTGATCTTCAGGGAAAAAGCTATCCCTCCCAGACAGAGAACAAAACTACAAGAACAGGTTAGTCTTTGTGACTCTATTCACTTGAGAGCTAATTTATTTTTATATGAGTAAATCAATATAAAATGGGCATGAAATTTGACTTTGTTGTGTATTTCCAGTACTTCTGTCAATACAGTAGTAAATCTGACCAAAAGTGGACATGATGGATGACATGTTGGAGGGCTCCTGTCCATACGAATGCAATACATTTTTTCAACTATTTTTGATGGCAAAATATTTGGGCTGTCATGTGAATTTATTAACACAATCAATTTTAAAATTGAAAATATTGAAAATTGAATATAATGAAAATATAATGTCCTGATGAAATCCTCATTCTTATCATCATTCTTCAACGATAGGCTCTGGTATAAGGCAGTACATAATCATATACCTATAGGTAAACATTCCATCATTCAAAATATATCAACAACTATAAATTGGTAAACAAAGAATAATATTTGTAGAAAAAACATAGTAAAATAACATGATTAATTTTATCCAGTTCGCTCAGAAATAATCTTTTTTTACTTCATTTTTGAATGTACCTATATTTCTGCATCTTTTGATATTGCCAGGTAGTTTATTGAATGCAGTTAAGGCTGAATGAGTAAATCTTTTTTGTCCAACTATGGAGTTAGCGGCGTCAAGATGAAACAAGTTATATTGTCTAGTTTCATGATTATGAATTTCATAATTTATTTTTTATTTCATACAATTGATTGGTTGGTGTATCAAATGGGAGATGATACAGTACTTTTAACGATGTTCTATACAATGTTGATATTTTCTTAAAATTATTTTTTGAACAAGATCCCCAAACATTTCTTGAATAGTTGATACGACTCAGTATATGAGAGTAGAGAATCATGTTTGCAATTTTAATATAAAGTTTGGGACATCTTCTCAATGCACCAATAATTTTCTTTGTCAAAACATCAATATGTTTGTCCCACTTCAACCTGTCATCAAACCAAATACCAAATCTGGTCAGTTTTTTTTAAGAGTTCATTTTTTATTTTAAGGTTGAGGTAAATTTTTTGTTTATTTTTTTGGTGAAAAATCATATATTCTGTTTCATTAGTATTTATCGATAAAAGGTTGCAGTGGAGACATTTTTCAAATATTTTCGAGTCTTCGTTTATCATATTTTTAAAATTTGAAGGATTCTTGCTTTCATATAAAAGTTCTGTATCATCTGCATACGTGGTATATTTACTCACTAGACCAATTTCACTGATATTTTGAACATGAAGTAAATATATTATAGGTCCTAAAACAGAGCCTTGTGGAATACCCTTATTAATTAATAGTTGATTTGACACAGTTGGTTGATTTTGTATTGATTGTCCTATTTTCAAGATATGAATTCAAAATATTTCTCACAGTGCCTCTAAGTCCCATTGTTTCTATGTTTTCTAAAAGTGTTGTATGATCAACTGTGTCAAAAGCCTATTTGAGATCAATAAAAATAGCTACCACATAATTTCCTGGATCAAGTCCTTTCTGGATTGATTCTATCACTTGTAATACTGCTGCTTGTGTGAAAACTTTCTTTGAAACTTTGTTTCGCTTTCATCAGTGGGAAACAAAAGCATTATTTTCGAAAACGTCAAAAATCAAAGTGCCAAATAGAAATGAATAGAAATATGTGATATATTTTTTAATTGACTTGATTAGTCTTTCGTTGAATGAATTTGAATGGAAATCAGAGAATTCTGTATTTTGCGATATCCCTTTATAATTAGCATCATACACAGAGTCGGACATACTCTTTCCAAAATCGTTCTACTTCGCGCATGTTTGTTTATATTTGCTGTTGATGCAGCATCTCTTTCCCATCCATATTGCATAGTAATCTGTCACGTAGCTCTCAATCACTGTTGAAGACCCTGTACTCTTCTTCAGAGTTTCGCCTGGCATTTTGGAAAATCAACGTCAAATAGTGCGACATAGTCAACATACACCATGACATATCTCTGTGTATACATAGTCAACATACACCATGACATATCTATGTGTATCGTGATCATTAGAAATTTTGAAACGGTCACCATTTACATTTTTTCGGTTACTTTTATTCTTTTAATCGTTTGAAAAAAGAGGTATTCATATTGCATGTCCATCCGACATGGGGACCCCAGAGGGTCCAACGCCCCGGGCACCGCACTGAACTGCCGACAAATTGAGTAGGAAACTATTCTTCTTATTTTTCAGTTACAAACTCGCCTGGAAGAAAAGAAAAATAAAAGCAAGAAATCTGTACAAGGTTCAAGTAAGCAGTCGATTAAATCCAAATCTTCTAGAACTGTCAGCAATGTGTCCAGTGTCCATAGAATCAATAATAGTATAAGACAGAATAATCTACTTGCAACAGGTAATTATTATTGTTGTTCTTTGTTACCCCATGAAACATATTTGTTTATAGTAGGGATATATAAACATATATATACAGGGTTACTGGTAATATTCGATACATTCCTCTGGATATGTGATATTGGAGGTGGTAAGGAGTGAATTAAACCCTAATATGCATTATGCAAAAGTTGAAAGTTTCTGAGATATTTAAATTTTTCTGTTTTTTCCCAAAGGTAGACTTTAATAATATCAATATTCTATATCTATCGATAGACTACGCACTGTTTTACCACTAACCAAACCTATTTAGTGGTGAAACAGTGCGTAGTGTATTATCGTGCCAAAGGTTTCAGTCTCCGATATATCTGTCGATATATCGATATTTCGAATAACGATATCATTAAAATAATATCGATAAATATCGATACCAAAGCATTTACAACATCAAGTTTTCAATATCGCACAGCCCTAGTTTGCACTACCAACAGTTGCCTTATCTTATCCTAGTATTTTTTCAATAATACTCCAGTAGGAGATCCCAAATATCACTCTAGCTTCTATTAAAAATATAATTTTTTTTCTCGAACTAGGATATTTGGGAAATTCGTATTCTAGAAAAATTCTTCGGTAATCAAGCTCTAGTGGTGTTAAGTGAGAATTGAATTATTTTAAAACAATCATCTAAATATTTCATGTTCTTTTCTGATAATAGTCAATACAAGTTTCCTCATTTGTCATTCATTGAAAATAACTCACGATGTAGGCGTGGAACTTGAATTCTCAAATGACGGTAGAAGTAATGTTTTGAAGAAGAAGAACAAATTGACATTGCGTAGGTATAACAGAATCAGGGATTTATTCTCTTATCTTGTGCGAATTCAATTTGTATTCGAATACGCAAGACGAAATCAAGTATATAGCACATTTTCTTCTTCCTTTTGGGATTTGTTACTCAGATATTCCTCTGTAAACATGACAGTAATCAAATAATTCAATACCCGGGAATATTAATTTGTGGTAATAGATATTATATTTTGGTATTTGGATAAAACTGTCTACTTTTCTTTATTTCACAGTCATATAAATTATGGCGTTTTATTATGGGGAAACTCTTCTCATGCTCCTATCATATTTCGCCAGCAGAAAAAGGCAATAAGAGTAATGGCCAATGCATATTATAGAGAACACTGTAAAACCTTATTCATCGCATATGGCATCATGCCATTACCAACTTTGTTTATCTATAACACACTTCAAGAGGTTCACAAACAATCTAACATACTCAGAACTCATAGTGATATTCATGATCATGACACCAGACATGCGATGAAGATACGTAATCCTCGGTTTAGACTTACTGTATCTCAGAAAAACTCTTTGGATTACAACATTTACAATATATTGCCTCATAGAATTAAAAATCTCTGTTTCATCAAATTTAAGAATAAAATAAAGCAATATCTCCTGGAACATTGCTTCTACTCATTGGAAGAATATTTTCAGACTGATCATGAGAAACTACTGGCTTGAGTATTAATATGGATGAAGTCGCTATCAATATGTACCTGTATTTTATATTTTTTTCATATTTTTCTCAATTTTTAATCTGTATCAATATTTTCATATTGTTTGTCTCTTAACTTTTTATTGTTTGTCTTTTAACTTCATTTTATATACAGTTCTATTTTTTTATAGTTCTAACTCCTTGACCTGCTACAAATGTACAGTGTACGTAATGTGGTAAAATAAAGTATTCTCTTCTCTTCTCTTCTATATCCCATTTATTATCTGAAAATTCGTCAACATTCAATTGATAATTCCACGACAAAGAATACTAAGTTTCACAATGAGCTTTCACAGATACACTTCTTTAATGATGACTCAAATTGTCTTACTGAATTCGATTCCTTCAGTGTTAGTTCTTTTGAAGTAAAAATTGTTATTTCTTCTCTTATTGTAATCATGAACTTCATTAATTCTCACTAAGAACTCATGAAAGTAACTGGTAAGCGATCCTTTCTACAGCTTAAAATATGAAAATCATATTCATGAATAATATATGCTTGTCAACTGAGAACCGGTTAAGACACTCTAACATAAATTAAATAATTGCTGTGTTACGGCTACAACCCAATATTAACCTCATAGCCCGATTTTGAAGCTTTTGCAATTGTGCTATTTTATTTTTACCAACTAGAAAAAGTAATGTTGAACAATAATCAAAATAAGGTTGAATTGAAACGAGAGAAAAAGAAGAGTTTTAGATATTTTTTCACAAATTTAATCAGCATGACTATTCAATTTTAAGTTTTTGTCGATTATGAAACCCGCATATTCGTTTATTTCAGTTACATCGTCTTATCAATTTTTATAACAGGGTTTGTCCAGACAATTTGATAATATTTATAAGATGATATCAAAAGCATACTTTCAGTTTTACTGACATTTAGTTTGAGTCTGTTAAATAGGTAACTTTGAATCCAATGTCATGCATTATCAATGTCCTAGGAATATTTTAGCCGACAATTCTACTCTTGGTCTCTAGAATCAATCAGAATCGACCATTTTCACGCTTTCTTCTGCGAAATTATTAGTCAAGAAGCTGTCGTAACAATCGCCGAATATTCCCGGAAAAATGGTATCACTATGATAATTTTTACAAGATAGCTCAATATTGAGTTGAAGCATTAATTTTTCTGATTAATTTGATTAATGAATATTTTTTAGTCAAGGAACAGCAGGGATCTGATGTCGAGAAAGATGCTGCAAGAATAACGTGTTTACCTCCTGCCAGACTTCCGCTCCCAGTTGATAATCCGGTTGTGCAAATTTCTTGTGGTCTACATCACAGTCTACTTCTTATGCAAAATGGACAGGTATTATAGATTTTGGTCTCTTTGTTCTTCGAGGGGTGGAATGTTCATTTCTGAAGGTTTTGCAAGTTTTCGTCAGTAAGATACAACACTTTGAATTTATGTATTTATTTAATACGAATGTTTATTTAACTTGAATTAATAGATGAATAAAATAATATCTGCAGAGGGGGCACTTTGGTTTATATGGCGGAGTGACCAAAAAAATATTTCTTCTCCAAAATATCATCTTGATATTATTGTTATGATTTCCAGGAAGAAATGAAACCTTCAGAAGTAAATAAACATATAACTTGAGCTGAAAATAAGTGATTTCTTAGTTTGTTTCTCCATAATTTACATTCCCCACACATTTAATTGTTCCATTGTCAAATTGTGATTTCATACCCTACATTTTTTAATAAAATTTGTCATTTGAACCCATATTCTTCTCTTTTTGTGATGCTGTGATCCTTTCATAATTATTTGGACTAGGTATATTACTCCTAAGAAAACTATATTTTTTTCAATGATGTTCGACCAAAATCATAAATTGTTGTTATTATAGGACTATTTTTACATGACATTTATCAACTGTTGATGTGACTTCGATTGTTCTATGTGTTTATCACAGACTATAAACACGATCTAGTACAAGTAAAATAATTATTAAGCAATGTGTTTTAAAAAATTCAAAAACTGTATGATTTTTGGCTTGATGTAATTCCTTCTCATTTCTATCAGACTTGGCATCGACTTTTGAAACATCTGTATGATTACTATTGAATATTGAAACACCTCCTATACACATATATGTATATATTGAGTATTATTTATATTATCACAATATAAGTGTAACTTCACCCTTTACAGGTCTATACATTTGGATCAAATCTTTATGGGCAGCTTGGATCTGGAGATATACTGACCAAAAGTAGCTTACAGCTAGTTAGGCTTCCTTGTAGCGCTGTACAAGTAGCTGCAGGCAGCAATCATTCAGTGGTATTGACAATGAAAGGAGAAGTGTATACTTTTGGCAATGCACAAGTTAGTATGAATATATTTCACATAACCTTGCTCTAAAATGTCGTTTATTTAATTGCCTCTGGGGTTCCAAATTATGTCATCATTATCGAGTGTACAATAAGATATTTTCACCATTTCCTACTAAAGAGTGGAATAGATAGTGACTAGGATTTTCAGCAAACAATTTCATTAGTTAGTGTTTTCTTTAGACAACTTGATAGAATATATGAATTCTACGACGTCTCAGTAGACTTTCAAAATATTCGTCGAATTGTGCAAAAAATACATAGAGCCGCCTATAATCCCGAAAATTTTCGTTTTTATGCGTGTTTCTAAAACGGTATGAAAAAAAAAAACAGTTCAACAGTCTAAGGTTACTTCATGAGTTTTTCAGTAGTCATGTAAATTTTCTCTGAAATGTGGAATATGATCTATGACTCATTTTTCTCATGGACGCCTTACCTCTGTACTGATATATTAAACTGAAAGCTGGTTGCATAAAGCATTTAATTTAATAGTTGATTGAATATTTCATCTGTTTATATCCAATTTGTTAACCAAGCAATCAAATATTTTCACTCATCAGCTAAGGCATACTTTACTATGTTTGTGAACCAATTGAATATTGAATCGTCTTCCAAATATTTTGTGTAATCAGTCCTCATAGTCGGTCGACCATGGAAAAATTGATTGAAATAAACTTATATATCGAAGGCTGGAACCTTTGGCACGATAATACACTACACAAGGTTTTACCACTAACCAAACCAATTATTTTACGCCTCGCCATGTGTTTCGCTAACTATGTTAGCATTTTCAAGTGAAGATTGAAACTCAAGTCAGTTTTAATCTTCTCCTGAAGATGCTAACATAGTTAGGAAAACACGTGTCGAGGTGTAAAATAATGGGTTTGGTAAGTGGTAAAACAGTGTGTAGTGAAATAAACTTAGATCAATTCAAGATGAATGAATGGTTTCTACGATTTCATTGTTTCTGTTTCCATTTGGAACACTGGAGGGAGACTTCAGTTTATTTGTCAGGATTTTATAGCAAAGATGTTGATTGCCTAGCTATTTTGCCATTGTAATACAAAATCTCCCACTTCAAAGTTTATCAAATTGAACAATTTTTCCATAGCAACTTTTTCAAATCCATTCAATCCTATTGCCAGACCATGTATAATTGTCGTATCAGAACTGTGAGAATAAGCTCAATATCAACAAAATCAGTGATACTGTTCAAAATGGTCCTCATCGTTATTAATGAAATGTATTATCCGTGAGCTCACTTAATTTGTTGTTTCAATGGTCTGTTAATAATTTACATTTAATTTTAACCAAATTCAAGATTCAAGTATTCTTTCAACTAGGACCCTTTGAAAGAATCCCAATCAACATGTATACAATGATCTAGTGAGTTTGTTATGGAAGTATAACTTTAAAATTGAGATTAAATGAAAATTATATGTTGATAATGTCTATGTTCAGGCCTTAGGTGTTTCAAATCAAAACAAAGTTCGATACACCAGTCAAAAGGTCATTTCATGCTGATTTCGATCCTGAAATTTCATTGTCGTCCATAAAATTAATGGAAGTTGTAGCTCAAATATCATAAGGAGCAGTTTTACCACTTCTGAAATTCAGAAAAGTAAAAATTGGTCCACTAAGTCAGACAATATATCAATCGTGGTTTGAATTATCCGCAAACTTTGGTTTATGGACTTGCGTGGTTTGAATTATCCGCAAACTTTGGTTTATGGACTTGCAGATACTTTCAAGGTCAATAACTCCGTAACGAAGTGCGGTATACATTTTTTTATATGAAGTACTAACATTATTTTGGGTCACTACTCTTCAGCACTGCAACATGATGTTATTGAATAAAAAGAGTTTTTATCACCTTCGATATAGTTGAGATGGTTGTTTTTAATTTTTTTGAGTAATACTTTTTTGTAGAAAAAAGATGAAGGAATCGAACGGTGGAAGCGAAATGTCAAATTTGACACCTCTGTCCAAAATGCCTCCAATAAACGGAAAAAGTTTGTCCCATCCTGTATAAAACAATCAGTCCAGAGCCGGTTACAATTTGAATGAAGCATTAGTATGATCATTGATACCATGGCAACGGTTTAAAAGTTATACATGATATATGTTTTTTTTACTCAAACTTTCGAGGTCAATAACTCCGTAATGAAGTGCGGTAGCAATTCTTTTACATGAAGTACTGACATTATATTGGCTCACTCTGTCAGCCCTATCATTTACGACATGACTTTGGGAATTTGGAGGATTCTGCCGCCTGGTGTGTGATGAGAACTCGACTTTCCTGCCGATTGATCAACGGAAGTCCCGTCAGTTCAATTGTTGATTTGTTCTATCCGTTATTCGGTTGCCTCATTACGAGCAACCCTCAGAAGTCTTCGAAAGTCTTGTGCGAGCAAGGAATGACGGAGAGCAGAGCTTTGAGCTCAATTGGCAGAGCGTTTGGCATGTAACTCAGAGGTTGTGAGTCCGACTCTCACACGGGGCGGTGGAGTTTTTTTCTATTTCCATTGTCACTCGAAATTAGGACATGTCATCTTCATCATTACTAAACTAAATAACTACCTACCTTAGCGGTCGTCTTGTGAAATATTAGCTCATAAGCTGATATTTCATGAATATTTCCAAACAAGTCGTTATTAATTCATCCAGCAGTATATTCGTCGGTTTTTGCATATCTTCCGTATTTCTTCACGAGGTACTAATAGAATGGTAACATTCTTCTAGACTCTGACCGCCGCAATTGCTATTAATCTAATCCTAATGTGACTTTCAGAGGAAACAGTAACAGAATACCCAATCCTAGGTGTTTCAGTATCATTCATTGATTCCATCATGTACTTAAATTTTTCATTTTTAGAAAGGACAATTGGGACGATCGCCCAACCCTCCCATTTCTCAAGACTGCCAACCAGGTAACAGTTCTTCTTCTCGCAACTCTAATCCGAGAACCCCTTGGTACAGTATTCCCGGACCGATTCCAAACATCGGACCAAGACATGGGAGAAGGGCAACTTGGGTAGGCGCATCAGGAGATCAAACCTTTCTGAAGTTGGACGAGAGTCTCATTAATTCCATCAGCATTGCAAAGTCGACAGTGACTGCAAACAAGCATTCTATAGGTGAGTGCAATAATTATTTACTCCGTGTTTTCTTTCCGGAAACATATATATGGAATGATTTTTTTAAAATATACAGCCTTATATCTTGGTTAATAGTGATGTCATTAATATACAATGTGTTGCGATGAACCGCGCAAAAAATAATGCATTATGGTTTATTTATCGTCTTGGGTGAGTCAGAATAAGACCGACGAACTTCTTATATTCCCTACTTTGAGGTGAAAAGTTCCTGTCCGAAAATGCATCCTCTCTGAGAAATACGGCTCAACCAAATCCTTTAAGGATTTATCGGGCACTGTTTTATCCAGCATCATTGATCTTGATTATATTTCTCAGGTTTTATGTTGTTAAACAGAAGGATTTTCAAAACTTTATTTTGTAGATATAATCGAAATGACATAAGTTATTCTTAGAAAATGTTTGTGAAGCTATCATTTATTTTTTTTATTAAAAAATAGTGATGATAATGATGATGATATTTGAAAAAATGTGTATACCAAATATCTCATCCTCTGGCACATAATCAACCTAGCATTCTGTACAGGCAATATACCTAGAAAAACTAAAACTAGCACATGTAAGAGCAATATATAAAAAAAGGTGATGAAGGGGAAATCAATAACTACAGACCAATGTCATTGCTTTCCAATATAAATAAAATATTTGAAACTATCATGTATAATAGTATTGAAACTTTTGTAGATAAAAATCAAGTATTGTCGAATTGCCTGAGTGGCTTTCAAAAAGGAAGAGCCACAATGCATGCTATATTTTTCATAGATAGTCAAACTAAAAAGATGTAGAGAATAAAATAATGAAAGCGTGTTGATACACAATAAAGAAAGTATAAAATAATATAATCTCCTACCCCGACAATACCCAGATACTAATTTTTAATGGAATCGGATAATTTTTTTTTAATTTATTTATTGAATAAATAACAAAACTTGTCCGTCATATTGTATCCGCCATATTGAATTTTTCAATTTTGACGGAAGCATCATAATGTCCGACCTCGTAAAGCCCCAGATATCAATTTTGAATATAGTCGGATCATATAATTACAAAACTCGTCCACCATATTGGATCCGCCATCTCGAATTTTCCAATCCTAATCTCCAACCTCGAAAACACCCAAATACGGATATTGAGTAGAATCGGATCATAATTACATAACTCGTTCGCCATATTGGATCCTCTATCTCAAATTCTCAAATTTTGACAAAAGAACCATAATCTCCGATCCAAATTTTGAATAGAATTGGATCATTTTCACTAAACTTGTCCGCCATATTCAATTTACCAAATTTGACGACATTATTATCTCCGACATCTAAAACCTTCAGATATCAATTTTGAAGAGACTTGGATCATAATTACAAAACTTCCGCCATATTGGATCCGTCATTTTGAATTTAAAAATGTTGATGAAAGAGTGAAAATCTCTGATCCAGAAAACCCGCAGATTCAAATTCATAATTAAAAAACTCGTCCGCCATATTGGATCCGCCATCTTGAGTTTACCAGTTTTGACGAAATCATCATAATCTCCGACCCCGAAATCCCAAAGATACTAATTATGAATAGAATCGTATCATAATAGGCGAGAGAACTTTTTTTATTTCCTTAAAAAAATCATCACTCAAATACCTTTCAATTTAATATTTTTTAAGAATTTTTTGGTTGATTGTTAGGTGCTAAATCATCAATAATGCCACTGTTATTTTCAAACGGCTAGAAATTTACCGACATTAAAAATGACGCCACGATTTCCTAAGTAGGGGCAGTTGTCATGTGTTGAAATACGGAAATACTAATTAGCAATAAAAATTCAATTGTCTCGAAATGTTTCCATTTGATATGTGGCTTATTGCTTATAATAAATTTGTATAAATAATGATTATATTAATTCACATTATTGAATCGGTGAACGTGACAACCACAGCGCACGACTTGTGGGTTGCCCAAAATTCACATGATATTTTGTTATAGAGAATAAGAATTATCTGGACATGCTGGTTGCTCTAAAAAGACAAGAATGAACTAAAACATCATGGGTTCCTCCTATTATGTTTTATTCAACGACAGGACTCTAACATCTTTTTGGTAACTTGATTATAAATGGTGACTAGACAACGTTGCTTCATGAGTGGAAATGGAAGATTATCTGACCAATAACGAAACAGCATAAAAACTGACGTCACCATTTATTCGACGTATGGCCAACTGGCGGCCATAAATGTTTGTTTGAAATGAGCTTTGAAATTCAACAATTTAAAATATCGCATGGACTCATTATCTACATAAAAAAAGCGTGAGAAGTGTTGGAAAAATTAATGTAGATTCCTAAAGACACAGTGGAGTAATTGAATGCCAATAATTCAATATCACATTACAAATCTCGTCCGCCATATTGAAGCTGCCATTTTGTTTGTTTGTCTTACACAAATTTCATGATGCATCGCCACACGTACTATGTATATCTGCCAAATTTCAAATCCATCGGTCCGTTGGGTAAAATTGAGTCCAGAGGAGTCGGTTACATACATACATACAGGTGAAGCTAATAAAAGTGTGTTAATTAAAAAAAAAAACAGCAGCATTGTGCCTTGGTCTGTCAAAAGCATTCGACAGCGTCGATCATACCATTCTGTACAGGAAACTGGATCGTATGGGAATCAGGGGGGTGCCACTACTTCTTATCAATTAAAAAAAAAACGGGTGAGTCCGAAGTAGATCGTCAAACTCACTTCTTATTCCACATGTTATTCCACGGTAAACAGTTCACATTGAGTTGTGACTTGAAGTGCAACCTGTTTGAAATACTAGTTGTTGAATATTTGAACAAAATCAGAATTACAATATTTTTTTTCTACAAACGTCAAAAAATGACAAGGTTCGCGCATTGATAACAAATTGCGAAGTGACACTTTTTTTCAGTTTCCTACGTTACCATGATACCTTGCACATAACAATGCGCGAAGTAAAACAGTGCGCGAAGTACCTACTTCGCGCACTGTTATGCAAAATATATGAGATATTTATATTTCAACTTTATGGTCCCCAATCGAGCAAACATTCACGAAATCATTCATTTGTGAATATTCACCAATAGCTTTGTTTTATCTCTTGGATCGCACGAAAGAAAATCCCTATTATGCTCGTTGAACATCGTGCGTAACGAGGAAGGATAGTGGGAGGCTTTTTAAGCCAGTTCAACACTATTTTCTTCATCAAGCTAGGCATATTTTTACTTTAGAACTATATTTTTTGACGTTTGTAGAAAAAAATTTGTTTGCAACTCGAGCGCGAAATACTTTGGTCATCTCGACTATTTTTTTAACGGCTACGCCTCGTAAAAAAAATCAGATCTCGATCACCAAAGTAGCATTTCGCGCTCTAGATACAAAAATAACTATTCTTCAACATGTAACAATGTCATCCCAATACATATCTTTAGTTTTTTGCAAATATCTCAGGAACCTCTACATTTAGGCACGTAGAATGTTATTCCTCAGAGAGAATTAATTTTAGGACATACGAGAATAGGAAAATTTCACCTCAAAATGAGGTTAGGAATCGGTATACGAAGTTTGTTGGTCTCATTCTGACTCACCCTGTATTATGGATATTGCTATCAGTTATACAGAATACTCAGTTTGAAATATCCGCCTACCTAGTAATATGGTTCATTCAGAGACATTTTTCTTATCTGGTGTTTTGGTGTAGGTATAACAGAAATATTGAATTCATTTCACACATCTGTATCATACTGAATGCACCATAACACATTCGTGAATACAGGAAATATATGAGTACTGTATTGCCAAAATATCGAATTTTTACTTATCTTTTTCAATATATCTATATTTCTTTCCTTCAAACATTTTTTCAAACAAATTGTCACTGACAAGCTACTGGAATTTTCTTTTAGACTCCCTGATAAAAAAATTTGTTTAACGCTGTGACATTTTGGGGCAAATCATCTGATTTGTCCCTCTACAATTATATTGAAATAATAGGAATACTTTTATTTGATAGAAACGAGGAGAGAAAATCCCAAAGAATCAAGTAAACTGAATCTACCACCTCGATTAACCTACAGACAGTACATAATATATCATTTCTAAATTACGAATATTTAAGTTTTTCAAAGGTTTGAATTTAGAAATGAGTCATTTTATTTTCTTAGAGACATAATCAATATGATGATACCATTGTCCAGTTAATTATTACAGTCGATTCCTTTGAACAATTATTGGTTCATACGGGTCCTACCTAGATAGATATAGATATTTAGATTCAATCAATAAATAATTCTTATTAGAAATATCTACGGAATCTGAATCTTTGTACATTATGTTCTTTTATATTTTCAGTGCTGGTCCCAAATGAGGAAGAAATTGCCAAAAACTTCAAATGCCTGGTGATAAATAAACGAGATGGTAACTGTAACTCGTTCAAAAGTCCTAATCAAGTAGATTTCAGCAATAAAATAGTTTGTATGGATCCCATATATAATGTTCTATGGTCATACAGTTCCTCGACCAATGAATTGGCTTGTTATAATATTATCGCCAGCGAACTTCAGATCAGAAAAATGATCAGTATCACAGACTATCACAGCAAACTAGTTTGTGAACAAAGAAATCTGAACAAGACTCTACAACTGACCTCGATTTTAACGCCAGAATTGGCTCTTCCTATCTTTACGAACTGTCATGTAACTCGTTTCCAGGCAGCGATCAACTTGTTGTGTTGTTTGGATATTTTATCGATTGCCCATGATTTGCACATTACAACTATAAGTGAGATTGTGGATGACAGACAGTTGATTTCGGGAAAGCAATATTCCAAAGAGGATTTTCTGGTAATAATTTTGCACCAATATACTTCTAATAAAATGTTTACTCAAAATTCCTTCAACTCCTTTCTAATGGTAAAATGATATACTGATTTTGCAATATCCATTTTGATGTTTGGAAGCTCTTGAAAAAATTTAAATTGAGTACCAGATATTTGAAATACCTCCCAATCAATTTCACAAAGTAGGCAAAACCAAAAATTGCTATTTCCACTGTACATGTGAAAAAATTCATATGGTTAGTTTCATTAAAATAATATGATGCATTTCAGTTCAAAATATTAGTTAATTCGAAAACTGGTTTTATGAATATTCACAGAGATAATATTTGAATAGTCTCAGTATATCATTAATATAAATTGTAAAAAATTGACGTTATGGATTTAAATTATTTTTTCCATACTTGTGCAGTGTTATCATGTTTTCTTCAGGCTGTCAACAGATTTGAAAGCCATGGCGGTGGTTGGGGATATTCAGGCCACAGTATTGAAGCCATCCGCTTCATGGCAGATTCCGACATTCTTATAGGCGGTTTTGGCTTATTCGGTGGCAGAGGCGAATACACCGCCAAACTGAAATTGTTAGATATTGGACCTGAGGGTGGAGAACAAGAAATCGATGGTGAATTGTTAGCTGAGACGGAAGAGATTCCATATGAGTGTGGACCGAGACAGAAGTTCCCCATATTGTTTGATGAACCAGTCCCGTTACAGGTGACAATACAATCATTATTTTTCCATTTCAATAATTGTGGTGATCATATAACGTCTAGATAATTGAGTGACCCAACTAAGAATTTTGACACTACACAGTTCTACCACTATCCATACCAAACCAATGTTTCAACCCGTCCACACGTATTTTGCTGTGTTAGAATCTTCCGAAGATTATTGAAACTAGATATCCTAAGACATCAACTACGCAGTCGATGTTTATCATGGTTGGATTAACATGATAATTCTTATCCTAAATCATTAAACTATATAACATTGTCCTTATTCATAACTCTATTACTATCATAGACATATGAAAGACTGAAGGGGAGACGAAATTGTTCACCGATCCAACATCGTTTTCAGTAGAAAACGATGATAACAAATTTATGCGGATTGCCCTAGATCTACCGCCTGCGTTTGAAATTTTATATATTATTTATTCTACTTGTTTGTTCCTTAATTGAAATTATGATAATGATGCTATTGAAATATTGTAAGTTATGGAAATAACTGTGGCAACGCTTTATTGCGGTGTTTACTACGAGTTAAATATATTTTCGTGAGGTCAATCGCTAATGTCAAAAGCCGACGTTAAAGTGCTGTCGGGCTGTGAACGTTACCATTTCAGGACTTCTTGTGTTTCAACTGATTTTCTGTGGGTTTTTTGTAATAAAACTTATAATGACAATTACTTCAATACACTATAGTTCGCCCGTGTGTGGATAGTTCACCATTCAAATTCCAAATTGGTATTCGACGGTAAGTTAGGTTATACTTCTTCTAACTTGAGCAGTGGTGTAGTTATCGCAGGTTATTTTGTTATAATTATTGCAAAAACGCTGTTTCTTTTATTTGAATGCGGCTTGGTGGTCGAGAGCGTGAAGGCGCTGAGTTCGTATAGGGACTCCCACCGAGACATAGTTTCGAATCCTAGTTAGGCCATGGATGTTTGTGTTATTTATTTATTTATTTATTCATTTATTTCAGTTATTGCATTACATTCTCTTTTTCATTGATACATTCCATACAAATAATATATAAAGTATAATTAATTTTCTAGTAGGAATGACATGAATGATCAGACAGTATAATTCCTGGTATAAGATCATTCATGAAGTATTGTCACGGAGTAGCTTGCGGCCTCCAACTTCTGGGGCTGCTGACTTCCCCGTGATGGGCTACACCTCTAGCTACGTTCCCTTGTGGGATATGCCGAGCTGTGAGGTTTAGATTATTTGGGGGTCGTAGTGGCAATGCGAGAGGTGATCTGACCAAAGAGGAGTTGCAGCAAAGAAATGACGAGAGTGTGAATAAAGAAAAAAATACAATTTAATTAAATAAAGAAAAAAAGTTATATGTGTACAAAGTGGAACAAAATCAAATCAAAACGAGTGTACGTGTATAAGGAATCAGCAAATTAAACAAATGTGGTTAAAGTGAAGTGAGTCAATAAGTGTGAAAAATTATAACAAAAAATCAATCATGAGCAAAACAAAGTGCTTCGAAGGTTATTTACTAACATCAATCCCTACCAGGGTAACGTGCGACACGCCCCTTCATTAGTACATTACCTAACTTCATCCCTGGATTACTTAAAGTTGCCGGAAGGGCCTAGCACGAGATTAACAGCGTTCAAAGTGAGTACTGATCCCTATTTTCCCTAACTATGGGGCCAACTAATATTGGAAACAAATGATCGAGGTACTTACATTGCTACCAGTACTGCCAATACTCTCGCCGGGGGGATGATGTGTCCTGGATGGGCCATCTCGTTAATCTCGACACCAACGCCACTCAATCACTCAATTTTGAATTTGAACTTTTGTCTAGACTGAATTTTGAATGCCTCTAGGCTGAATGTCGACCGAATTCGGAATCACCAATATTAATGATTCCCGCCGGCTACAGTGTGGTCCGTATTTATTTGCGAACGGTTTGCTTTGTTTGCTAAAACTTCTCAAAACTACCTAAATTGGTGCCAGGTCGTGAAACTCCTGAGTTCAACGCTCATTTTAATGTTTTGCCAAACCGTTCGATTTTTGTCGACGCCATCGAATTATTTGAAGTGAATTGAAATTTAATTGTTTGATTATTTGAAATGACCTGGATCTGAAGGTGTATTGACTCTGATATATACTGAGTGGTCCCATCCGTGACACGTTCCCGGGTCATCTGAACGCTGGCCCCCTATGAATATATTATCTAATATATCAAGGTAGCAGTAGAGAGTTTTCCTACCATACGTGTAGTCTAGTGCAACAACAAAAAAAATAAAATAACATAAAAATAAAAGAAGAACATGTAAAATTAAAACAAGCAAAAACGGCAATTAACATTTCGATGCATATCACTTCTAGTCTTTTCGAGTTCTACACACGGTCAGGATCTGAAAGTCCGGCACTGTCCATAGGTGATTCGCAACGCTGAGACACTAGCGCGCGTGCAGAATTCTTCAATAACGGCCGCCTCGCATCTGCTTTCCTTCGCTGCGTCTAGAGGTCGCTGCGCCTAGAGGCCGCTGCCTGTCCTATAAAGGCAAGGTTGGTAGAACTGATGGTTCGCGGGTGGTCTTTTACTCTGTTTTGGTAGACTTCCCTTTGACATACATACTAATCCTGAGGTGGTGGAGGGATTCTCCTGGCTCGGTTATTCCCGTCATCTGGTTCTTTGCTTGGTCTTGTTTTTGGGTTCTGTCGTAGCTTCGTGTACCGTCGGTGCCCATCGTGAAATTCGCAGCTACTGCCATTGGGTTCCAAGTTCATACCTCTGTTTTACCGGTAAGAACAAATTGTGGTTTCAGCATTCCTCGTATCGTATCAAATGCCGTTTGCACCGTTCAAGGCTTATGAAATTTTTGATGAGTAAGTGCATTTCACTTTTCTTTGTTCGAAAAAATGACGCTAACGAAATTGACTGTTTTCGTTCGGGGATATTGGTTCTTGTTTGTTGGTTTTTCATGGGTAATTTCCAGATACAGGGTGTTTGTGGTGTTTCTCAAAGGTTTTCCATGTGTTCCAGTCTCTATCCTGGGAGTGTTGCTTGGTAAGCCAAACTGTTACCTCGTGGCTCTGTCTCATGATATCTATTTCCATTCTCTAGGTTAGATATAGTTGACTATAGCTTCCTCAATGCAACTCGTATGTGTGGCCTCTGTGGAGCGTTCCTGCGAGTATCTGCTTCACCCCGTTTGCGGTTTGCATCGACGGTGGATGGTGGTGAACGCACAACCCCCTGTTGCTGTGTTCCGACTCGGTTCTCGTGAACAGCTTCAAAGCCACTCTTGGTAAGTACTTTGAGGATCCTATCTTCCCATTTCTGGTGTCCTTATTCATTATGTTCTTAGGTCTCCTGGTATGTCAAAGGTGTCAGCCTTCAGAGTTTTCGCCTCCTCCATCAGCCGTTTTGCCTCGTGGGGTCCTGCCATGTCAGCTGGGTACCAGTGCCTTCCCATTTTCCGTGTGTAGTCTCCTCTCACATGAAACAAAGAGACATGCCGCAGTAAGTGTTTATTTTACATCCTGATATTAAGAAAAATAATATATAAACCAAAACAAGTTACTGATTCCCAATTATTCCACTCTTTTCCTAACCAAAATATGATTTTTTTTTTTTTACTGTTCCTACTACATATATATGTATGAATAGCAGGCCCTTTTTATATTCCCAATAAATTTTTTCCTATTTCTAATTAATATGTATAGCTCCATAAATGGCAGGCTCTTTCTATATTTTCGTTTGTCCCTATTCCTAAATGTCTGTTTCCTTTGCCCTGTTCACCCTATTACAAAAATATATACATATATATCTATATGCATGCCCATATATTAGTACTTCCTATAAGAACAAGAATATTAGTTGGGAATAACTTCTTTCAAGATATAGTTTTGAGTTGCTTAGGTTTCCACCACTCTCCGTCTTGATTCTCAATTTTATTCTGGAAATCCTTCTCGACAAATCACAACAACAAAAATTCGGGAGAGTGGGGGTCATTTCCCAGGAACAAAACAATGATAAAGCCAACGAATACCAACAACAACCGAAAAAACACAAAAAAATGTGTTCAACTTTACAAAGTGAAATTTTGATAGTTTTTTTTTTTTTTTTAGAATCCTTCTTCAGAACTCGAAGATTTCTCAAAACTTGAATTGACTAAGAACTATTACACTGAAAAAAAAAGAAGCAAACTTCTCTGAATCGGTAGGTAAGCAGAGTGGTTTTCACTGAAAAAAAAAAACAACTAAAATGGATTCTGAAAACTTAACATTTTGCTCTTAACACATACTATTGTCATATCATATCATAATGATGCACTTGAAATTTCAAATTAGTACCTCGCTTTCATTCGATCAAATTGTAGAGATATCTATAAGAAAACAACTACTTCCCTGGCTAATACCAACGACGAATATTGGATTATATCTTCTAGATATCTGAAACAATTTGATTACTTCCATTCACTCATTACATCGCATCCTCTTGCAATAACTTGATTGCAACACGCATTGCATGACACTTATGTGCCACGAATTGGCCCTAAGGGTAGTATTCACCAATATTACAGGTTTCCTCCATACTTCCCTCTGCCGAACTGTTTAGATATCATTACTAAACTCATTGTAAAATATAACTCGATTATCTCAACACTAAAATCCATATATATATATATATCACTCAAAATAATATCTCCTTTTCATAACATAGCACATAACTTACGTGTTATGTCTTGGCCGAAGGGTGAATTTTCACTTTTGTACTTGACAAAGCATCTGCCAAACTCCCCTAGCCGAACTGTTTAGTAATCATTACTAAACTCATATCACAATATACCTCAATTCATCTCATAACTAAAATTCATATATAACTCTCTCAAAATACATAACATAGTACATAACTCACATGTTACGTCTTGGCCGAAGGGTGAATTTTCACTTTTGTACTTGACAAAGCATCTGCCAAACTTCCCTAGCCGAATTGTTTAGTAATCACTACTAAACCCA